TCTTTCCAACCGCAGAAGGCTTCTGCCAGCCTTTCCTGGATCCTCAGGTCGGCGCTTCGCAATGTTTTTTGCTCCTCTTACGAATAATGCCATGCTGGAAGATAAGGAAAACGTAGGAGGGTGCAGAAAACATCTCTTTCCAGAGTGTAATAGCTTTAGCTGGGACGTTAAGGCACTTGTGTTTAGTGAGTACTTGTCACAGTACTACACACATCAACAGACTTGGGTTTATTGGAGTAGAATCACATCTCAGCTCTGCCCGAGTAAAGCTGAAATAGCTCAGCTGTAGCCAATGGAGATACTACAGATGGGAATGACAGGAGAATTTGGCCCATTGTTAAAATATCTTCATGTAGAAACAATGTAGGAAAATTGAACTGTGACCAAGTTCCTTCATTATGGGCTAAACTGACTCTAAACTGAACCCTCTTAAGCTGGTGAAGTTACACAGGCGTGAAGGAGAGAGCACACAGAAGCCAGCCTTGTTTGAGCTGCTTTATTAAAAAGGCACCATTTTGCATCTTATGCAAGTTTATTTGCAATGAACATTAATTTTATACAAATATATAAAAATTAGACATGGGCTTAGACCTCTAAGAGACCTACTTCAAAGTTCCTTGGTTTATTGGAAAGTTCAGCCTGAATCAGGCTTTTGTGGTTCAAACATCATCTCTTTAATAGGCTTAAGCTGGAATTACAAACCTGAATTAACCAAACCATGAATACTTTGTTCTAAAATGTCTTAAAAGCAAACAATTTTACAGTCTCTCTGAATCTCAGAAATTTAGATACTATTACAGAATTGTACTTGATTACTCTTTCTTAAAGTTATTGATTTCAGAAAGGCTATATTTATTGGTGGAAAAACCTCAAAATTTTACGCCTACTGGCCTGGAGCTTGACATAACTTCATAACAGCCCTTCTTTAAATTTGCTGCCTTTTCTGCTGATAGTTCAGGTCAGCATTTGGAAGGATGAGCAAAACATGAAAGAAAAGGTATCCTAAAAATGTGTTTCAAAAAAATTTCTTAAGGCGCATCTGTTGGGGCAATGGGGAGGAATACAGTTCCCTAATTGTTTCCCTCTACACAGTTAATTTTGGCCTTATTTCCCTCTGACATCCAACCTAATCACAGCTGAGGTACTCCTCACGTTCTAGCTCTACTAAACATTTTCTGCTTCTGAAAGTTACACTGCCTCTTTACCCTCCCAGGATATACCAGCTGGCACTAAGGGGGAAATACAAAAGTACAGGGTAACACTGAAGCTGAGCTGATATGTCCTACAGTCAACTGGCTACTGAAAACTGATCAGTACCTTTTTTCTCATTTATCATTTTGCACCTTGCTTTGAAAAGCAGGAGGCTTATAAATTGCAAGAGCTACACTGTGTGAGTTACTTGTGCTTTTACCCCTTCCAGGATAAAGTTGTCACCTGCATCAATAAAACTCCAGAGCCATTTTTGATATGTTCCACTGGGCTTGGTGCCTTCTGAGGGTTCCTCTGAACCACTCCGTGCTGCCTCCCATGGGCTCCATGGCAGGTTCAAGCAAAAGGAGCTCAACAGTGCTGCCTGAGAAATAGAGTGTGGTCTACGAAGAGTGATCCAACATAACTCTTAATATTCTGAAAGTATTTTTCTTGATTCTGCAGTGGTTTATCCAGATATTTAACACTTTCTCACCCATGATCTTACTAGTAATTGATGCTTGGTAAGGACATGAATGCTGTCACAAGAAGAACTAAGCTGGTGATGGCTTGGCTTGGGTCCTTCTTCCCTTTTTGATAAAAAATATAGTTCTGGCACCTTTCCATTTCCAGAAAACTGAGTAACAAAAGTTGGTGTCCTACTCAGAAAGCTTGACAAGGAAAGGGATTTGGTGAAGCTGTCAGAAATGGGGAGATTAAAGTGAGGCTCACAGGTTGGTATTTAGGCACGTGGACAAATGGTGCTATGAGGGAAAAAAAATGTTGGGGTTTTTTTCAAAAAAAAAGACATTTCTGCTGCATGGTTGAAACTTTGGTTTAATCATTTAGCTAGTGCAAAGCACATGCCAAGGTTTCAGGTGGCAGAATTGCTCGAATCATTTCCTACCCACTTTGCAGGGAGGCAATTGGCAACACAGTGGCATTAAGAAGACAGCTTTACACGACCTTTCAAAGTAAAAAAATAAAAAGAATCCCTAAAGAGCCAACTATTTGTAAAATGTGAGAGGGAAGCACTAGGTTTGGTTTTTTGGAGGTGGCCACAAAGCTTTGCCCACAGTCAGTGTGATGGTCAGGGCTGTCCGCCACCCTCCACAATCTCCGTGGCTCCCTGGCTCCCCCAAGGAGGGGAAACCTCTTGTCTTCTGCACTCGACCTTTGTGCTGCCTGCCTTGCAGGGGAATGGATGCTGCACGTCTCTGAGTGCCCTCTCATCCACATTTGCCGTAAACACCCAGAACACCTGTTTACTCTGACTCACCCACTCCTCACACAGACTCTCCCTTTTTTTGACAGCAGACCTCACTCAGGTACTATGTACTGCTAATATCCTTTCAGGACCATGTAATAACATGCCTTCTATCCAATTCCTAACATCCTTCAATCAGCTCAGCCAGTGGGCTAACTGCTTACACTCCTGTGATTTATATAAGTGCAATTAATTTAAACTGCATCACTCTGGTGTTATGCTGGTGAAAATGCCCCGAGAGGGAGTACCTCACTGGTGAATCAGATACTTTACTCTTAACAAACATACAAAAGAACAGATCGCGAGCCAGTGAAAATCTGCATGGCTCCATTCATTTCAACACACAAACTTAAACCAGCTCAAGGTCTGAATCATAGCTCATGTAACAGGCTGTTTAGATACAGACTAATGCCTCACATCCTGAAATGCAATGCTTTCCCAGAGTTGGCAGGGGATGGGGTGTTCTCACATGGAACAGAGCTGAGAGAGGAACAGGACCACAAATACAACCTTTTAAAAATGCTTTGTGGATTTCTTAATTTCCGTAGAGTTGAGGAAAGCAATGCCTTGTGTCTCTGCAAGCATTGCTCTCCCTTATGGGAAGAGCAGCATCTGTTTCTCCACCTCAGTTGCGAAGCAGGTACCTGGGAAGTCCCTTTCCTTCCCACTTTCCCTTTCCTCCCATATCCTGGGAGTGTTCCTTGCAGCCTGGAATTCTGTGTGTCGCCTTTCACTGACAAACACCAGAGTTAGATGATGAACAGCTGAATCTTTTTAATTAGTTCTTGAAAATAGCTAACTTTCTCTGCACTTGTTTTGGCATTCCCAAGATTAAGAAGCCATGCAGCTTGACAAAGTACTTTAGTCTTACATGTCTTAACAGGACCAGAGGGATTTTTTTTCCTCATGTCTCTTCCAACACCTGCTGCAAAAAAGGGCTGGGGTGGTCTCTGCAAAACACCCTTCTGTGCTGCCTCCCGACAGGAGAGAGCCCTAGCAGCACACCAGAGCGGCATGCCGGTATGTGCCCAGGCAGGTGTAGTTAATACACAAGGTGTGTGGGGGGGAAGGGTGGGGAGGACAGACCAAGAGTCAATCAGAGTGTAATTTGTGTTAGAAATTTACCAGCATTCAGCTGTCTATATTTTCAAAATGCAAATATTTTTAAATTAAAAAACCTATCTGTGACTAAACATCTCCTCTAAATCAATCTAGATAATCAGAAAATTCTGTGGCACATTTAAGAGGCTTTCATCCTAAATGAAATACATAATACAGATTATAGCTTTGTAGGAAATCAAGAGGTCCTACGTATACTAATAGAGAAGGATGTATAAGAGACATTTAAATTACCCAGTTTATAATTTGGAGGGGGTTGCTTATCTGTGCATATTTTAACTGCTTTGGGTAATTAGGAAAATTTCCTTGATAGTGCTCTAAGAGGATAGACAAAAATGACATAACTACTCCCAAGGAAGGTCGAGGGTTTGCATTCTGCAGATTTTTAAAGTAAAAGAAACATTCTTCATGTGAACACTCTGAAGCAGCATGCATATTACACGAAACCTGTCTCCCTGCTCCAAAACGTCATTTTTTCCAGGGCTTTCCGCTCTCCTTGAACTCACTCGCACTATCTCACTGGCCCTTCTGCCTGGAAGAGTGCAGGTTAGGGAGGCAGGCTGCTGTCTCCAGCCTTTCCTAAAGACAACTACTCAAGGGCAGTTCCCAAAGGCAGCAGGCACACAGTCAGTTCAAAGGCTTCCATTAGCTCTGCAGACTAACTTGTTATCTTGTAATGCCCCCCTCCTCCCCTTGGCTTCTGCTCTTAATGAACAGTTTGTTCCATTGTAATTCTTGTATCAAACATCTGGAAAACAGACTCTGAAAAGAAAAAGAAAAAGAAAGAAAAAGAGAAAAAAACGAAAAAGAGAAAAAAGAACAAGGAAAGAAAGTGCCTGTGACTTATCTAGGTATCTGTCGGAAAGAAAAAAAAATTAGCTGAATCAGTAACCTGACTTTTTCTTTTTTTTTTTTTAGCACTTTGATCAACACATTTTTCTAGCCCGAAATCCTACAGGGCAACAACCCGGCACTTTGCAACAGGACAGCGCGCTCTGCCGCACAGCTCACTTCTCCGTTCGCAGCTGTCTCCAGCGGGAGGAGCTGAAACCTGAACCCAACCCTCCGAGCAGGGATTGGATCCCTCCCGCCAGCAGTCGGAGATCCCTCCCAGAAGGAAGAAGAAAGAAAAAAAAAAAAGGAAAAAAAAAAGCCTGTTTGGGAAAAAAAAGTGCTTGAGAATATCCCGAAGTGATTGGAGGAGCGGGAAACCCTTCCCCCCTGCACCTGACTCGTGGGTATTTACGGCTCTTTTCAAGGCTGCTCTGCAGTGCCGCTACCACAACCGCCAGTGGATGGACCGCGCCGGGCAGGCAGCGCGACAGGGACCGATGCTGCCGCAGTGAGAGCGTGTGCTGCTCGCCAGCCCGGGCACCGCGACACCCACCCGAGAGGAGAGACCCTGGGAGAGGAAGAAACCCCGCGACCAAAATGCCACGCTCCTTCCTGGTCAAGAAACATTTCAATTCATCCAAGAAGCCCAATTACAGCGAGCTGGACACTCATACAGGTAACGAAACCGAGGGCATGGTGTTGCGGGAGCGAGGACGGGTGGGCTTGATTTTCAGGCTTGAGGGAATGAGCTCTTTTTCCTTTTGCTTACACGGAGGGAGTTTTGAGAAATATGGCAGTGCTGCCCAGAATGAATCATAAAAGTTTGCCCATCCACTTGAACTCAAGTTACTCGGGGACAATTTGGAGTTTTCCTGCTCTGTATCTGCTGCTGGTGGAACTAAAACTTTTATACAAATCCTTCAGGAAGTTTCACTGCTTCATTGTGTCAGGCTGCACAGATTTAGAAGTGGCATGCTGCCTTGGACAGACTCTCCAACAGTAATTTGTCTGCTCAAGTGTACTGTCTCTACCTATCAGAATATATGCATGAAATAGTATTTCCTTTATCCTCCTAGTATTCACATGACCATACCGAGTGTTTAATTCACGCACCCTTCAATGCCCCAAAATGTTAATTTTGCTGCCTCTGGAAATGCTTTTTGGTTCTCTTACCTCCAAATTTTTTTTTCTCCAGTGATTATATCCCCATACCTGTATGAAAGCTATCCAGTCCCTATCATACCACAGCCAGAGATCCTGAGCTCAGTAGCTTACAATCCCATTACTGTGTGGACTACAACCGGGCTGCTACCGTCTCCATTACCCAACGACCTCTCTCCGCTTTCTGGATACCCCTCGTCTTTGGGAAGAGTCAGCCCACCTCCACCTTCTGACACCTCCTCCAAAGATAAGTCCCATTAGTGATGAAGAAGAGAGAATCCAGTCCAAGCTTTCAGACCCCCATGCAATTGAAGCTGAAAAATTTCAGTGCAGTTTATGCAGCAAGACCTATTCCACTTTCTCTGGGTTGGCCAAGCACAAGCAGCTGCACTGTGATGCCCAGTCTAGGAAATCATTCAGCTGTAAGTACTGTGACAAGGAGTATGTCAGCCTGGGAGCGCTTAAGATGCACATCAGGACCCATACACTACCTTGTGTCTGCAAGATCTGTGGCAAGGCTTTCTCTAGACCCTGGCTACTTCAAGGACACATTAGAACTCACACTGGTAAGAACAACCATTGCAATTGCAGTTTCTTCTTGCTATAATATTGGGATGCCTTTTTGCTATTTCTCTCCATAGGTGAAAATAATAGCAGTGTTTCTTTACTAACCATAAAATTCATGGACAGAATTTCAAATGTATCATTAAAATGCTAAATTCTCATTCTTGGGGGGTGGGAGGGGAGTGTAGCAGTCTCATAAATGGGCGCCAGTTACTGGCATAAATCAGCATTACTCCCTTGACAGTTTTAGGATGGTTTAGCCCATTTTCACTAGCTCTGAAGGTTTTGCTTTGGAAATTGCTAACTTTGAGAAGGCTCGAGCTGACTGAAATCAAGCAGTAAAACACAAAAAGGCAATGCATGAGGAGTTGCTTTCTGATTCCTGGAAGCAGCTGGCAAGTTTTGCACGTGCTATCGCAAGTCCTTAAGAATTAGAAACACATCATCAGCAAAGCACTTTTGCCTCATGAAAAAATAAAAGAAAAAAAAGCTTGTACAATGTAATGTCTGTACAGACGTTTGCTTTTTAGTCTAAGTACTGGACCCCAGCAATTCACACAGCAGAAAACGTTCTATGGAAATATTTGAAAATTTGGGAGGAGCCCAACCCAAAAGTAGTGCATGCACCTGTACATGCAGAAGGTGTCAGCAGTTTGTCTTTGGGGACTGTGCTTAGCAGCCTATTCAGAAGAGACTGAGTCTTCAAGTACAGTCATCAGTGTTGAAAGTTGTCTTATCTATGGCCTGATTAAACTTTTATTACACATTGTTACAACAACGCCTTTCTGTTTGTTCATTTTGTTTCTTAGGATAAAAACATATTTTACCCATCCTAAACATGTACTTCTTTCTTAAAGCTTTATCCTATTTTCCCTTGATGTTTCCTTTTTAGGAGAGAAGCCGTTTTCCTGTCCTCACTGCAACAGGGCTTTTGCAGACAGATCCAATCTGAGGGCTCATCTGCAGACCCACTCGGATGTGAAGAAATACCAGTGCAAAAATTGCTCCAAAACTTTCTCCAGAATGTCTCTTCTGCACAAACATGAGGAATCTGGCTGCTGTGTAGCACACTGAGTCATGCAGTCAATGTTTACCTGGACTTGACAATGCATTTCTCCACTCCTGTTCCAAATGATAGGTGGAAATCCAAAGGTGTTTTCTCATCTACTTTTCAGCCAAAAAAAAAAAACAAAACCACAAACCTGAAACACCACCAAACAAGCAAGCAAACAAACATAATAGTGGTTCTCATCTACTTTTCAGCCAAAAAAAAAAAAAAAAACCACAAACCTGAAACACCACCAAACAAACAAGCAAACAAACATAATAGTGCAAGAACTTAGAATGTCAGTAGAAATGAGCTTTAAGTACTTTCTGTTCAGTCACACATTCACCTTCTTAAGTGTGAATTCTGAAATATGGGGAAAGACCCAATGCATGACATTTCAAGCAGATCTAAAGGAAGAAGCATTATCAGCTTTCTTTATAGATGAAGCCAAATGTAGGTTGTCTTTTCTTGCTTAGAAAAGGCTGCAAAGTTAACAATACATTCCTGCCAAGCCATTTCAACCAAAGAAACAGTATTTTAAGTGGAACTTTTAATGAAAATACTACCCAAGTGAATTTTACTAGACACCATTTATCTCAGGTGCCTTAAAAAGTATTCCGAGTTTACCTTAGTAAAAGTTTAATATTATTCATTGCTGTGTTTTTTATTTTATTTTAATAGAAGCCAAGGCCTCTCTTAATGATCTGAAAAGCTTTAAAACTGCATAATTAACAGAGGGGGGGGAAAAAAAGGAAGAGAATGGACAAAAAATTGAAAGCCTCCAATAAACCGCATGTGCCTTTAAAAAAAAAAAAAAAAGACTGTAACGTCAAACATTCCTGGTGCATGCTTGACCATCTTTTAATACGGAATAGTTCCTCTAAACTGTAATCTTTTTTAAAAAACGGGAATAAGTGCAAGAGAGGGGGTTCATGGGCGTTTGACAATTATTTTTTTTAAATGCACAAAGGAAATGCAATATTTTCAGCATTACCCCTCCAAGTGCCTTTTTTATTGATGATTTTGTAAAGTATGTGGACATAATGTAAATATTTTTATTTTTATATGATTGAATGTGTTATGAATGAAAGTGAATTGTTGCCTATAGCAACATCTATAGATAACTTGAAGAAAGTGTGAAGTGAAATCTATGTTGTTTTCTAGCCACTTTTTTACAATAAACATTTTTAAGTATGATTTCTGTCATTTTTTCTAATTTAAAGAAAACAACCGTGTCTGGTTTATTAAGGCTTTGGAATATAGAAAAATGCAAGTTTCTCTACATGACCAAATGATCATAAAAGTGAATTTCAGATGTGAATCCTTAGTTCACAAGTGCTGATCATCAGAAAGGAATATACACATTGCATTTTAAAATATTTAAAACCTTACAGAACATTTTTCTAGAGTCACTGCTTTAAAGCACTTCCTTTTTTGCTACTTACAACAATAAGACATTGTGAAATGTATTTTATACAAAACATTTAAAAGAAGCTTCTTTCTTCCATTTTAACAGTTGGAAGGTTGCTATTTGAGCACTCTTATTATAGCACTTTTCCTGAGTCTCTGACATTAGGAAATCTGGGCCTGAACCAAAGTTCATTACAGTCAGTGGAGCCTTGCAGGAGTAACATACGCATGATGCTCTTTTAAAGTAATAGTCAAGTCACAGCACAACATACTTTATATGGTTGCTTCAGAAAGATTAAAGATATTTTTATTAGAGTATCTTACGTATCAGAACTGTCAAGTGAATGTATCATAACTGTATATCAGCTGATATGTCACAGGAATTATTCAGTAATAAAAAGTAGAGTTTTTTTTCCTTCAGATGACTTGACTAAGGACTCCAAGATCTGAACTATAAAAAAACCCACTACAACATCAATGTCACATCATTGCTGACTAGTGCAAAACAGTATTATTTACAACTTTTAACAAAGCACAAAGTTAGAAAACAGAGAAGCACTGGTTGATGTCTGGTCTAAAGTCTCCTATGTCTACAATGGGGTATCAGCACAAGCAAGTAATAGCAAAGCCAAAATTCCAACAATTTAACAAGAATGTTACTGATGGATAAGCACAGGGTGCACGTTTCTCGAAAAAGACTATATTTAGACAAAATAATTTATTGGGACAAACTATGCATGTTTTGTGCCTGCTCCAGCTGAGTCCTGCAGAGCAGTGTTTTTTGACTGCACTGGAATATTGTAGGCAACAGGCACATGATTCAAGTTTTGTACCTTTTCTCTACGGGAGGCACTGTACTGAAAAATAAAGATCAGCTTGAATGAGGCTTTTCATCTTCTACAAGCATCTTCTGACAAAATCTCAAGGTTATAACAATGATTCCCTAGGACCTGTGAGGTTTTCTTTCAGGAAATAGCTAGAGAGTTAGAGAAAGATAGAGTTAGTGGGAATTTGTGAGGTAACATTTTGAAATAAACACATGAAGGCATCAAATACCCTTGAAAAGTTTCATGTGGTTACTCTATTGATTTGCACTTCCATGTCATTCGCTTTGAAGTTCTTAGGCTCTAGCAGCTCTTTGTGCAGCTTTCTCTTCCCAGAGCAAAGTTTACTGGAGTATGAGTAAAGCTCTGGCAGTCAACAGCTATTTGTGCTGTCAAAATTCTAGGTTTGCTCTCCTGTGTCATGTCACAAAGCATTTTCCATTGTTTTAATTCACACTTTAAATTCTCTATGCCCATAGTAAATGAAGTAGTATCAGAGCTTGACTTCTTGAATGAGTGGAAGTGCTACTGTTGTCCTTAAGGGAAATCAGATGAAAACTTCATCAAAATACAGTATGCTAAACCAAACACAAGTGGAACTGGTCTGATTTGGAGATGACAATTAAGATATGCTACTTTGCATGCCTGTAACACCTGTACTCATAAAACACAAAGGTGGGAAAGGCTAGAAGCTTTTCTGGATCATCTCTTTAATTCAGAGTGCTCTATCACAGATGCTTAGCTCTCTGTCCAGTTGCAGCTTAAACTTCCCAGGCAGCTGAATTTCTCTGCTTTTCCTGTGGGACTGCTTTCTATTTGCTGTCAGGACATTTCTCCAAAACATTTCCATTAATAGTTTTGCCTCATTACTATGCAAATGTCCTTCTGTACCTGCACAAGCTATTTATTAATGTAAATTAAATTCTACTCTGAGCTGTTGGTGGATGACTCCTGCAACTTTCTTGAAACCCGAGGGAAAACTCCCTCCATGGTGAATCTACCTGTTGAACCTCTTTGATCATTTCTACATTTCTCACAAGACCTTTCATTCTATATCCAAATAATCAACTTTTGAAATCTGTCTTAGGAAAAAACTCTCCCCACGCTCCAAATATCTGAATTGCTCTTTTCTGAAAACAGTCGATTTTTACTTTTGATTTTTGATACCAGTGCTAAATGTAATTCTTTTAAGTGAAGAGTTAAATAATCAAAAGGCCAGCCTCTCCTCTTAAGGCACTTGTATGATAGCAAGATATACACAACAATATTGTTTTAAACCTTTTACTAATGGGTTGCTTAAAATCTGTAGATCTGGTAGACTTTTTTACAGAGGTTACTCCAAATACTCTGTGTATCTTTTGCTTATATGATTGCCCATTATAGACAAGCCCATGAGGGCTAGATGCTTCCTTTAGTATGTTCTGGCAAATTACCTCCTGAGTACACTCACTGTGTGGATCTGACCCGCCACAGCATATATGCAGTTACAAGTGTATGAGTTTCTCAGTGCTGAAGGCAATAACTGATTTACTTTGTTTCCTCTTTTCTCTTGCTTCCATTTGGGTGTGCTTTTCATCTCAGAGGCTGCAGAATGAAGTAATATGTGCATGAAATGAAGACAGAACAAAGTACACATTAATGCTCAAACCACTGCAATTACCCCACCAACTAATGTGGAGTTCAGCTCCCACCAAAGGGTTAAAATAAGTGCCTTTCCGATTAGGACAACACAAAATTTTACTCTGTTATTTGAATTATTCTATTTCCTGTTATCAACAAGCAAGCTCAGGGCTCCATAAAATCATATATTGAAAAAAAACCCCACCACCCTAAAGATCCTGTAATTTGAGTTAAAAAAGAAAGGATAATGGGCAACCTGATAATCCATCCTGTGCTACTGATTATTTAACCTGCCACAAAAAACAAATAAATATTTCAAAATAAAATATATTTTTATTTTTGAATGTGACCTTTTCAATGTTGAGCATTACTTCTTTAGAAATATCAGTGTTTCATAGCTTTCCCAGATGTTTGATTTTGTCTCTTTAAAGTAAGTGTTTCAATAGTTAAATATATAAATTAGAAATCTGGTTCACAGAAATATAAAGAGTGGAATGTGTTATTGTGTATTCATATATTGCAATAGAATAATAGAATCATGGAATTATAGAATCATTGAATCACTGAATCATTGAATCATTGAATCATAGAATCATAGAGTGGCTTAGGTTGGAAGGGACCTCAGAGATCATCTAATCCAACCTCCCTGCCATGGGCAGGGACGCCTCTCAACTAGACCAGGTTGCTCAAGGCATCACCCAGCCTGACCTTGAACACCTCCAGGGAGGGGGCATCCACACCTTCTCTGAGCAATCTATTTCAGAGTCTCACCACCCTTGCTTCCTAAGATACAGTCTAAACTTATTCTCTTTCAGATTAAATCCATTTCCCCTTGTCCTATCATTGGACACTTGTGAAAAGTCCCTCTCCAGCCTTTCTGTAAGTTCCCTTTAAGTACTGGAAGAAGAATATAAAATGAAAGCTGCAAGAAATAAAAAAAACTGAGTGCAAGTGAAATCCCAGAGTCACAGAAGGGTTGAGGTGGGAAAGCACCTGTGGAGATTGCTTAGTCAAATGCCTCTGCTCAAAGTAGGGTAAGTGGAGCAGTTTAGCCAAGACTGTGTCCACCCTGGTTTTGAATATTTCCAGGAATGGAGACTCTGTAAACTCTTTGGACTACCTGTTTTGATGTTCAATTACTCTTGCATTAAAAAAAAAAAAGGTATTTTCTTATGTTTAAATGGAATTTTCTGTATTTCAGACAATGCACACTGCCTCTTGTCCTGCCACTGAGAAACAATAGGAGTCTGCCTAAGTCTCCTTTACTCCCTTTTTTCAGGTATTTATAC